TTAAACCTTCCTGGCCACCGGGGGGCAGCACCAAACACTTCAAGGTGCTCTTTGTGGCTCAGTTAGTTGGAAAGAAGCTACACTGGGTCCCTGAGAGCTCAGTATTCTCCACCCACTGATTTCCTTGTCCTTTGATCACATGGAGGCTTTCCAGATCAGAATTTAAATGAAAACAACAGGATTGCCCAAGGAAAATTATTGTTAATTAAATCCCTTATAATAATATAGTCAAGGTTCTTTATTTTCCTTTTATTAGAGTGACTAAGCAGTATATATGAATTTCTTCATCAAGGAAGGTACTTTGAATTTGTGTGAGCTTGCTTAGACTGAAATCCATGTGCTCTTGGACTCAAAGGAATAAAAGCAGCCAGTATGTTGTTGTTTTTTACTTTATTGCTTGTCCGTGACTTCTTCTGAGTATTGACAGATGACAGCGTTTTGTAACTGACTGCTAATAAGAAAATATGTTCCTTGTCTTTAGTTATAAAGAATCCGAACATCCCATGGTAATATTTGTGTCTTGTAATATTGATTCCATAGACTTCCAGAAGAAAGAACAAGTCTGTTTTGGAGGAAGTACAATCCCGGTGTAGGATAAGCACTGGACTACTAACCACATGGTCAGTGGTTCAAACCCACCAGTAGCTCCTCAGAAACCCTATCCAGGGTCACTGTGTTTCAGAACTGACTCGACGGCACTTAGCAACAACAGCCAGATATATTTTAGAAACCTGGGTGGTGAGACTTTGTTTTGTTTACTAGGGATATATCTTCTGGAGAGAAGGAGTTCAAGCTTAGTCAAGTAGAGGGTCACTGAAAGCAAGAGAGATTCTCCATGCGAGAGATTCACATGGCAACTGTAAGAATGGGCCCAAACATACCAAAGAGGCTGAGGATGGCACGTGACCAGGAAATGGTTCATCTATTATGCATAAGTTCACCTCATAAACAAAATAGTGCACCTACAAAAATACTTCCCAGTGGATGGAGATGGGAGGTTTGGTGAACAAACATAGAAAATGTGTGTTTTTGTTGAAATACAGTATCTGCCTCAAAGGCTTAATGTAAGGATTAAATGTGTGAATACCTTTGAGCATTTGAACAATGCCTACTTCACTGTGAAATGAAGCAGCTGTGCTGTTCTGCTGTTAAACAAGGCTGAGGTATTATGACCCACCCATTGCCATCAAGTTGATTCCAACTAAGAATGAAACCACTGGACAGAACAGAACTGCACCGTTGGGTTTCCAAGATTGTAACTATGGGAGCAGACAGACTCAACTGGCTCCCTTGGAGCACCTGGTGCGTTTGAACTGCGGACTTTGTGATTAGCAACACAATTCGTCACCCCTATGCCACCAAGGCTCCTTTGAGATGATATAAATGTTCTGGATTTAGGGAACATGAGATAATATAAGCATTTCCCAAATCCAGAGAGTTTCTATTTCTTTTTTGAGGTAACATTTGGGGAATACACTAGAGGTGGTCAGTGGTAGTGGGGTTTGTATGTCATCAACTAGGTTCTGACTCATAATGACTCTATATAGGGGTTTCAAGGCTATAAATCTTTACAGGAGCAGAAAATCACATCTTTCTTCTGCACAGCGACTGGTAGATTTGAACTGCTGACTTTGTGGTTAGCAGTCTAGCTTATAATCCATTAGGCTACTAGGTCTTCTTGGAAGTGGTAGGTTGTTGTTATTGTTAGGAACCATCAAGTTAGTACCAAATCATAATGACCCTGTGCACACAGCAGAACAAAACACTATCCAGTCTTGTGCCAACCTTGCAATCTTGGCTACTTTTCAGCTCATTTTTGCTGCCACTTGTACGAATGCATCTCATTGGGGGACTTCCTCTTTTTCTCTGACCCTTCACTTTACCAAACATGGTCTCCTTCTCCAGGGACTGGTCCCTCCTGATAATATGTCTGAAGTGTAGGACACGAAGTTTGGCCATCCTGGCTTCCAAGGAACACTCTGGCTGTACTTCTTCCAACACTGTTGGTTCTTTTGGCAGCCCATGGTACTTTCAATATTTTCCTCCAACACCGTAATTCAAATGCTTCAATTCTTCGACGTTCTTCCTTATTCACTGTCCAGCTTTCACATGCATATGAGGTTATTGAAAATACCATGGCTTTAAAAAAAGGAAAATACCATGGCTTGGGTTAGGCACACCTTGGTCCTCATACTGATATCTTTGCTCTTCAACATTTCAAAGAGATCTTGTGCAGCAGATTTGCCCAATACAATATGTCATTTGATTTCTTGACTGTTGCTTCTATGAGTGTTGATGGTTGATCTGATCAAAATGAAGTCTTGGAAGACTTCAATCTTTTCTCCATTTATATGGATGCTGTTTATTGGTCCAGTGGTGAGGCTTTTTGTTCTCTTTACGTTGAGGTGCAACCCATACCGAAGACTGTGATCTTTGATCTTTATCATTCATCAGTAAACATTTTAAATCCTCTTCACTTTCAGCAAGCAAGGTTGTATCATCTGCATATGAGTCTTCTCCCAATTGTGATGCCACATTGTTCTTCATATAATACAGCTTCTTGGATTATTTGCTCAGATTGAATAAGTATGATGAAACAGTACAACCCTGGTACACACCTTTCCTAATTTTAAACCATTCAGGGTTCCCTTGTTCTGTTCTAACAGCCTTATGGACTATGTACAGGTACCTCATGAGCACAATTAAGTTGTCTGGAATACTCATTCTCCACAGTGTTGTCCATAGTTTGTCATGATCCACACAATTGAAAGTCTTTGCATAGTCAATAAAGCATAGGTAAACATCTTTCTGGTAGTCTCTGATTTCAACCAAGATCCATCTGATATCAGCAATGATACCCTTGTTATACGTCCTCTTCTCAACCAAGCTTGAACCTCTGGGAGTTCTCTGTCAATGTATGGTTGCAGCGTTTTTTTAATTATCTTTAGCAAAATTTGGTTTGCATCGGATATTAATGATATTGTCTCATGATTTCTGCACTCCGTTGGATCACCTCTGTTTGGAATGGGCACAAATATGGATCTCTTCCAATTAGTTAGCCAAGTAGTCGTCTTCCAAAATTCTTGGAATAGATGAGTGAGTGCCTCCAGTGCCGCATCAGTTTGTTGAAAGATTTCAATTTGTAATTCCATCCATTTCCAGAGTCTTGTTCTTTGCCAATGCTTTCAGTGCACCTTGGACTTCTCCCTTCAGTATCATTGGCTCTTGATCAGATGCTACTTCAATGTTGCAAGTCAAGGTTTGAATTTTTTTCTTCAGTCCCCTGACTTTCTAGTCCAGTGCATTAACTCCTAGCACTACACCAGGATCTTTCTTGTGGGTGTATGGATATTATTCTACCACAGACAGCGTTATACTTCAAGACAGATCTTGATATGCTCTTTTTGATGACGAATGCAACATCATTCCTCTTCAATTTTTCATTCCCAGCATAGTAAACCATGTGATTGTCCAATCCAAAATGGTCAATACCAGTCCATTTCTGCTCACTAATGCCCTAGGATATGGATCTTTATGCATTCCATTTCATTTTTGACAATTTCTAATTTTCCTAGATTCATACTTTGTCCATTTCATGTTCCAAGCATTAATGGATTTTTACATTTGTTTCTCTTTATTTTGAGTTGTGCCCCCTCAGCAAATGAGGGTCCCAAAAGTGATAGTTCATTCATGTCATCACAGCCAACTCTACTTTGATGAGGCAGCTCTTCTCCGGTCGTATTTTGAGTGCCTTCCAACCTGGGAGCTCACCTTTAGCACTATATCTGACAATATTCTGGTGCTCTTCCTCATATTTCAAAATTCAATATTCTGGTGCTATCAGTGTTCCACTGCTATTCATAAGGTTTTCAGTGACTAAATATTTGGAAGGAGTCCATCTCTCCAAATTCCTAATCTGTCTTCATCTGAAAGCTTAGCTGTCCTATGGGTGACCCTGCTGGTATTTAAAATATCCATGGCATAGCTTCCAGAATCACAGCAACACACAAGCCACCACAGTACAACACCCTGACAGGTGAGTAGTGGGGAGGTGCTAGGCAGTAGTCTGGAAGTAGCAGGCAGGGGTTTGGTTGTGCTATGTGGCTTTGGTGACTAGTAGCTATGAGGCCATTGAAAATGCCATGGCTTGAGTCAGGTACACGTTAGTCTTCAAAGTGACATCTTTTCTTTTTAACACTTCACTTTAAAGACATCTTTTACAGCAGATTTTCCCAGTGCATTTTTCACTTATTACAAGAAGCACAAAATACTTCTTAGAGCCAAAACAAAAACAAAAAACAGAAATTTTTGCAGTGAAAACAAGGGGCATCATTTCAAATAACACTTTTCTCAGTAATAAAAGAATAATGGATATCTGTGTGTTAGGTACCCCACATATCCATTCCACAACATTTCTGGATTAGGTGGTACCTGGGGTGGCGCTTTGGGCTAGTGCATCAGACTGCAAAGTCATTTGAATTGCAAGGTCGGTGGTTCAAGCTCACCAGCTGCTCCTTGGAAACCCTATACACATTGGTTTACAGGGTCACTATAGGTCGGAATAGACTCGACAGTACTTAACAACAACAACAATAATAATAGCACATGTCAAGGGAACCTATTCGTTATCATGAGGGCAGGTTTTTGGTTCCTCCCCCCCCTTTCCCTGGTAACTGCCTTGTTTTTGGAGTTAGACCCATCAAGAAATTTTTAGGACTGTTAGCCCTATAATTGGACTTCTGGTCATCTTTTCTAAGGAAACAAATCTGAACATGAGGGGGACAAAAAAAAGCTACACAAGAAGATATTAATCATTGCATCTTTTTTAGTAGCCAAAAATAGTCCCAGTAAGTTTGCATCCTTAGAGGATGTGTTAAATGACTGAGATGCTGGAACATTATGCAGCGCTGAAAGTTGCCTTAAGAATACCTTGTACCAGTGTGAGGACCGGCGCATCTGTGGTCTGTGAGTCACTCCCACTCTCTGACTCTGTCTTGCAGTGCTTTGCTGTACGCTCTCTGGGCTGGGTGGAAATGGTAGAGGAGGACCTCGCCCCTGGTAAGAGCAGCGTGGCTGTCAACAACTGCATCCGGCAGCTTTCTTACTGCAAAAACGACATCCGAGATACAGTCGGCATCTGGGGAGAGGTAAGTGGTGCGTGGCAAGAAATGGTGAGCTCCCTTCCCTTCCAGTTCACGAATCCCCACGGCACTGAGTGTGCCCACAGTGCACCTGTGTGATCGCTCCAGCAGATCCCAGCAAAGACCAGGACCCTGTTTGAATGGCAGGCTCTTGACTTGGGAATCTCCATATTCCCCAGGGGATCCATGGTTGGGCTGGAAGGGCCCAGAAAACCCTAAACTGGCCTGCAGCATTGGAAGTGCCAGTGCCTACAGGGAGTTTTCAGGGCAGACGCCCCATGGCTCTGGTGTGTCCTCAAAAGAAGACACACCCACACACATATACACGAAGGTGTTGCTGCACCTGCTCTGACAGTTAACGAGTTCTCATTCTGTAAAGCACCCTGGAACTCCACATTCTGCATGAGTCACAGTGTTGTTACTGGTATCTTCTGTGTCACATTCAGTGGAGGAATTCCATTTGGAAATGTTAGTTAAGATCATTTCAGAAAGGGAATTAATAAAGAAACAATATCCACTTTGTATAAAAACCACAGCCACTGGGGAAAGCAGTCTCTTTGAACAAGTGTAGTGAGGAGTGTCTCACAGTGTGGTCTGCAGCCTGCCTGTATGTGCTCCTTTCTCCCCTCCCCACTCAACAGAGCATGGGCAGCTGTGCTTTTTGATTGGGTTGTTGGGACTGTCACTCACATGTTCTCCTAGCAACACAGTCATAAAGAGAGATAGGTTGCCAAGACTTCCCAGCCTGTCTGTCTACCTTAGAACTGAGCTGATCTACATCACAGTGGACGTGTCTGTACAATGATGACACAACATCCACTAAGGTCACTCTGACCCAAGCCTTGGGACTTTCACTTGCTTCATCTGTATGTGAAACCTGGACAGTGAATAAGGAAGCCTGAAGAAGAATTAATGCCTTTGAATTACAATGTTGGTAAAGAATACTAAATATACCATGGCCTCTGCCACAAGACCAAACAAGCTTGTTTTGGAAGCAGTAGTTATGTCGGATTGCTCCTTAGAAATAATGATAATACTGAGACTTCGCCTCTCATATTTTGGACCTGTTATCATGAGGGACCAGTTCCTAGAGAGGGACATCATGCTTACAAAAGAGGAAGATCTTCAACGAGATGGATTTATACAGTGGCTGCAACAATTGTGAGGTGCAGGAACCCCAGGCAGTGTTGCATTCTACTATACTTAGTGACAGAAGTTAGGATTCAGAACTAACAACAAGATCACACCGTCACCTAGACTTCTGGATCCTAAGCATGGGTGGAGAGGCAGAAGTACCGCCACACTTGGCCCAAATACCCAGGCCTATGCTTCGTTTCCAAATGTTCCACTTTTGTCTCAGTCAAAATGCAAAGTTCAGTTAGATGTAGCATGAAGCTTGGCGTCATTTATACTAATTGTGAATGACTGAAGGCTTCCACCAGCCATTTTAGAAGAGCTCATTAAGATTCTAAAGGAATCTTCAACTGATGGGATTCCAACAGTGAGAGTGAGATTGGAGCAGGGGCAGCTAGGCCTCTCTTTATGTTTAAGTTGTTGCTATTTTTCTTGGCTGTTTCGTCGGCTTTTGAACCCTAAATTCCTCCAGGCAATGCTTCTAGTTCATAACAGATGTAGGAAATATAGCCCAGTGCTGAGGCTTGTGAGCTATGATTTTGTGGTACGCCCCATGATGCACAAAAGTTCTCGGTGGTCAGCCTCTGTGTGATGAGAAAATTGAAGACATGAATTTGCTAAATGAATTTGACTGAAGCTACGGTTTGTTTTCCTTCAAGGAAAGCTGGCCAGCCATTCTTGTTTTAAATCACAAGCTACACGTTGTCGCTGGCTCTGTCCAATAATGCGCAGATTGTTTGTAGAGTTTACCGAAGAAGGTGACCTCTGTCTCTGCAGGGTGACCAGGTTTGGCTTTTAAACTGCATCCACCCAAATCCACTTAATCAGTGTGGGACCTCACTCTGGGTCACATCCCACAAAGCATATTTAGCAGCCACAGTGAAGACACCAAACAGCCACATGGGATGGACTTAGGGACCAGCAGGTGGAAGTTGTACTGGGGACTGCTCAGTAGTGGGTCTGGCTGCAGATCTCTTTTAGGTTCAGTGACTGGTGGGAAGAACAGAAAGCACTGAGCAACCCCAGGCAGCTCTCAGGTACCACCCCACCCCCCAGGACCTGGGACCCAGTCAACTCAGAGCTCAGTGATAGGGCTGCTCAATGGGCAGCGCTCTGCTCAAGATCAGAGGAAAGGAGCCCAGCCATTGGCTGAAGTATGGAGCGGGGGGCGGGGCGCTCAGCCACCTCAGCTGCTGGACTTGGCTTTGCCAGCTCTTGAGTATCTCCTGACCAGTTGCCTCCCCAGGACGTGCGCCTCAGTTTTGATTAATCTGCAAGCAAGCTAATTAAGAGTTGACTCAGGCCAGTGATGGGACCCACCTGTGCTCTTGGAGTGTCCACAGGTGGCCTGTCTGCCTGCCTGCCTACGGCCAGTGGAGTGGGCTGCGCTTCCTCCACAAAGCCATTTGGGGGCACCGTAGATCTGAGGGCACGTGCAGCCTGTTGCTCCAAACTCGTGAAGTCTGTTCAGCCCCCACACTCTAAATTAGTATGTTCTGCTGGTACTTTGATCTCTAAGGGGCTTTCCTGCCCTTTGGGAAGATTTCAGATCATCCTGGGTCTTGGCTGAAGGCCCCAGGTTTAAGCCACAGCATAAATATTCACCACAGGGGCCCTGACTCACCCAGGGCTGCCTTCACTCTGAGAGCTTTTGAAGACCTATTGCACAGAGCCAATTCTGACTCATAATCAACCCTCTAAGACAGAGTGGAACTGCCCCAGAGTGTTCCCAAGGCTGTAAACCCTTCTAGAAGCAGGCTGCCGCTTCTTTCTTCCACAGAGGGGCTGGTGAGTGGGGCTAACAGCCGAACTTAACCACTGCTACCAGGGTTCCTGAAAGAAACCTAAAACCAATTCAAAAACTACCAAAAGGCCTCCCTGTTCCCACCCAGCTAGATCTACCAGCTTCAACTGCACGGCATCTGGACAGCTGGTCCCCTGCACGAGAACTACTAAAACGTGTTTAATGATTTCTTTAAACCGTGCCAGTGTGCAACTACAGGCGAGGTGGGGGTCAAGTTGAGTATTGTACTTGTCCTCAAGGCACCAGCATACAGAGCCAGGACACCACAGCACGTGTTAGAGACGGAGGGCCCAGGTGATGCCCTGCAGGTATCCCAGGCCGGAAGCAAGTGATTCCACCACTGAGCCTCAGGTTCCCCACCTGCAAAATGGAGATAAAACCAAACCAGCTTTCATATTGACAGGCTCCATGAACACCTAAAACACGTTGCATAACATCTCCTGTGATAAAGTCTCATAAATGTTAGCTGTTGATAGTACCAAGGAATGTTGTGAGGCTGTGCCAGCTGTTTGCCAGGCAAATCACCCAGGCATGAAGTCTGAGACAACACAGACAGGTGTGGGCCTGGCCCAAGAGAGAGGCATGGGGGAGAAGGGGTGACAGAGGGGCACACTGGGCCCTGGAGTTAGTAAAATATGAGGGGACCTGCCATTAGCTCTCCCCCCTACTTAGAGTAAAAATGCAGAAATGTAAATAATTAAAAATAAGAGACAACTAGAAAGCAGACTAGGGACACATTTCAGAGAACTTGGAGAGGGAAAAAGAAATTAGTATGTGAGAGGAATATGAAAGATCAGGAGAGGAAAACAGTCTAGATCCAAGGTGGCTGCTTTTAATGAGGGAAAGACAGCCTGCACAGCTCGGTAAGGCTGTGCAGCATGAATGAGGAAGATCTGTGTTTTCTCCTTGGCTCCCAGGGGAAAGACATGTACCTGATCCTGGAGAACGACATGCTCAGCCTGGTGGACCCCATGGACCGCACAGTGCTCCACTCGCAGCCCATCGTGAGCATCCGCGTATGGGGCGTGGGCCGAGACAACGGCCGGTGAGTCCCCTGCCCAGTGTGGCTTTGTGTCCCTTACCACAGAGAACTTTCTAACGGTACTATGCTTCACTGAATGTGGAACTTGACAGTAGATGCTGCTTAGGTATACAAAGTTACAGGTCACCTGTATTTGCCTGCCTCATATACCTGCCAAGCCACTGCCCTTCCTGGTTTCTGCACCTCAGCCCTTTTACCATTGTGGTTCCTGCCTTAAGTTCTGCATATTTCCTTTCCTGATCATCCTCTTATCCAACTTCCAACCCATCCAAGCTCTCTGAGAATCCCTTTTTACCGCTCTGCTCTGTAGTCTGTTTTAATCCTCCATTTATTCTATTGCATCTCAGCTGTTTCAGGGTCCCCACCCCCACCCCCCGATGGCATTTTCAGCATAGAATGCTTGCTAGAACAGAGAAAGTTGAACAGTCTTTAATGACAAGCCTTAAATCATTAAATCATAATGATGAGGAATTTTAGGGGACTGAGGTTGGCTAAACATAAACCTTCCAAAAGAAATTTGAAAGTTGTTTCATATGTTTTCAATGCAAAACGTCAGTTAATTCACAGTTGCACTCAATGTGTTTTTTTAAAATCCTATGGAACTTTCGGTATTGGTAGGAAGTACCACTTGCTTGTTACTGTTTTTTGTTGTTAAGTGCCATTGAGTCAGTTCTAACTGATAGCGACTCCCAAGGAGTGACTGGTGGGTTTGAACTGCCAACCTTGAGGTTAGCAATCGCGCCACACCTTCCTTATAGGTACAAATTTCCCAGGGCTTCCAACTCGTTCTTCCCAGTTTGGTCATGACTAGTAACGCAAAACCAGAACAGACCTGAATTTGTAAAATGTGGGCAGATCAGACAATAACCAGAAGGGGAGAGACTTAGGTTGTTGCCCTACCAGAAAATGTATGTCCCTCATAGAAAACAAGGGCATCATGTGCATCATATAGCCATCACATGTCTTGAGGAGCAAAATTGAAAATAATGGTGCCCCATCAAAGATGGCGGCCCATGGACCACTTTGAATGTGTGTCATGTTCTACAGTCCTGGTAACAACCCAGTGCCCTAAATCACATTCCTCAAGGGGCTCAGCATGCCTTTTCCAAGTCTCCTATTCCACAGCTTCAGCCTATGATTTCTCTCATTCCTGTTACTGTTTTGATTCACCCAAATTTTTACAATTCAGATTCTGATTTCACTTCATTGGCCATAACTGAATTGATTCAAAGCCTGGTATCTTCAGAATGATTGGAAATAAGGAAGGTTCTGGTTTATAATCATATATTGTAGCTTTATTCCAGCAAATGAAGTCACAGACATCTACTTGGATATCATTGTTAAATTACTGGACTTGAGTTGATCTTTGGCCATTCTCAAGGTACTGGTGAATCTCCTGGCATTTTAGGTATGACCTGTAGGATGCTTAGTCGCCACTTTGCTGAAAATAGACGAGCATTTTGGAGATGGGTGAAAATCCTGAATAACAGATAGATGGCTTTCCTGGGAGTTCTGTTTGATTGGGTCATGTAGTACTGTCCTGGGATGTCTGTGTGGGTATATCACAGCCTTGATCTACCAAGACTGGGCATTGTTGTTCTTAAGTGTTGTTGAGTCACTTCCTACTCATAGTGATCCTTTTTAGAGTTTATGAGGAGTGACTGGTGGGTTTGAACGCTGACTTTGCAGTTGAAACTGATCTTGGTGGATTTCATTGTCTTTTGATTTGGTTCCAAGTTCTAAACCAGAAAGGAGGGATTATGGTTAAGTATTCATCAGCCAGAGAGCATGCATTTATGTTGGAACCAGACATGAGAAATGGTCTCCAAAAGAGGGCGCTTGTGTATTTTCTAATAGCTGATGGGATGAACTTGCTAGGAGGACATTGTGCCTTTGAGCTTTCCATCACAAAATAAAGAGGGATGACAGCTGGACCAGGTGGGCAGGTTTTTCATACACACCTGTCATTCACTTGCTTGGCAGAATTGTTACTTTAGATTGATGCATAGACATGACTTGATTAATTTTACAAGGAAGCTAGCTGATAGTTGGTTGTTGTTGTTGTTAGGTGCCATCGAGTCGGTATCAACTCATAGCGACACTATGCACAGCAGAACGAAACACTGCCCGATCCTGGGCCAACCTCACTATTGTTGCCACGTTTCAGTCCATCAATGCTGCCACTTGGCCAATCCATCTAATTGGGGATCTTCCTCTTTTTCTCTGACCCTCCACCTTACCAAACATGATATCCTTCTCCAGCGACTGCTCCCTCCTGACAATATGTCCGAAGTATGAGAGACAAAGTTTACCCATCCTGGCCTCCAGTGAGCACTCTGGCTGCACTTCTTCCAACACAGAACTGTTGGCTCTTTTGGCAGCCCATGGCACTTTCAATATTCTCCTTCAACACCATGACTCAAATGTGTCAATTCTTCTATGGTCTTCCTTATTCACTGTCCAGCTTTCTCATGCATATGAGGTTATTGAAAATACCATGGCTTGGGTCAGGCGCACCTTAGTCCTCAAGCTGACATCTTTGCTCTTCAACTCTTTAAAAGGTCT